ATTATGATTGTAGAACTCTCTTTTTCTTAAAAAAAAAAAAAAAATAATAATTTGATGTTCATACTAACCCACTGTTTGTGGGGTTTACCAATACAGAGATTGAATTTCTGGAAAATTGTGATTCCGCTTCAGTGAAATCGGCCGCAAGTAAATTATTTTAGCATTAATAAATGCATGATTTATGTTGATTTATTGATTATCTTGTTGCTGTTTTTTAACATTTAAATGGGGAAAAAAAAATAAAAAGTGTAATTCATGGCTTTTTATTTATCTTTGAATATTTTATCATTGAATAATAATTCTTGCAAAAAGTGAAATGTAAATGGCAATTTGTTTGTTAGATTCCTTTTAAAAATAGATAAAAAAAAAAGATGATAAAAAAATGCATATATGGACTCAAGAAAATCAGTTTTAATACAGAATTTGATTATTGGGGAGATTCCTTTTAAAAACTAAATTAGTTAAGATAAAAAAAATGCATATAATGACTCAAGAAAATCAGAACTTATTTTTGCTAAGCTCTTATTTGATGATGCTACTTTCTCTTCGTGTGTTAATATCTTTGCTGATTATAACATTTTTACATTTGAAAAGAGAATTAAATTTTTTACACTCTGTGCTTTTGGCCGAATTCTTAAGACTCCTGACCGTCCCCTTTATTCTTTTCTTCCTTCACGTCGCCAATCTTCCATTGCCCTTAGGAATTCTCGTCACCTCAGATTTTTAAATGTTTCTTCTAAAACCGATCGCTTTCATAAATCTTTCCTTCCATTTTCTCTACGTCTTCTTTCATCTCTTAATCTTGACCCTGATGAATTAAACATTGGTTCCATCCGGAATGCCTTTTCTATGAAGTAGTTGCATGTGCTTTATTTTATATGTTTTTCTTTTCAATGTATTTATGTGTAGGCCTATGAAACTACTACTATAATACTATATATAGTATAGATAGTAGCCCTCGATGACTTATGAAGCAGTAAAGTGAATTGAAATTGAAATTGAATGGTCGTTAATGAGGATGATCATGACAATGATGAGGATGATTGATGAGAATGATGTTGATGAGGTTAAGGATGATGAATGATGAGAAACATCCCCTCTGCCCCTCATCCTCATCTTCATTCTTGTCGTCCTCCTCCTCTTCATCATCATCCTCATGGTGAGGATGATGATTGATAATGATGATTAATAAGGATGATGTGGTTGATGATGAGGACAAGGATGATAATAGATGATGATTGTAATGAGGATGATGATGGTAAGGACGATAAGCATGAGGTAGATGATGATGAGGATGATTAGTAGGATGAATGTGATGGATAACGATGATTGGTGATGATGGTGACGATGATGGATGAGGATCAGTGCCATAGCCAGTATTTTCAAACGGTGTGGGACAATATTAGGGTGGACTCACTTTACGTGTAAATCAAACAATGTGGACAAATTTTACCCATTTTTAGCTAAATATGAGAAATCTGGATCCATTTTATGTATAAAATTACATAATTTGGACCAATTTTTAAAATGTGGACTGTCCCAACTGTCCCAATAGCTGGCTACGCCATTGATGATGACGAGGATGATGATGGATGAGGATGAATATGATGATGAGGATGATGATGAAGAAAATGATGAAGGATGAGGAGGATGAAGATTATGAGGATGATAACGACGATAGATGATTGATGAGGACGTGATGAAGATGAGGACGATGACGATGGATGAGTATGATGTGATGATGATGATGATGATTACAACGATCGATGGCAGTAAGGATGATTATGATGATTATGACAACAATGATTATGACAACAATGAGAATGATGATGACGATGACGAATAGGATGAGGATGATGATAACAGATGATGATAATTACTGTAATGATATCAATAGTGGTAATAATAATATTATAAATAATATTATTATATAACAGTACTAACAATGTAATTCATTTTAATAATAAAATATAATTTTGAAATAACTAGAATGCAATACAGTACCGTAGTATATATTATCATAATATTAATAATAATTTCAATAATAATAAATAAGCATAATACTATTATTAAAATAATAATTATATATATATATTATTCTATATGTGCACATTGCTTTGATGAGATTGTATTTTGTACTTTAAGAACAATAATAATAATAATAATAATAATAATAATAATCTTACAAAAATAACCATGATGAACGCCATCTTGGAAATTGGCATTATGACCATTTCAATTAAATTTGATAAAGACAGTAAAGATTAACTAGTTACATAAGTTTATTGTCAATATTCACATTTATAGCAAAACTAGAAGTGACTAAAATAATGCCATATTTTTTTCAATTTACCCCGATCCGAATCCAGAAATGGGATTGTCGGGTCTTTCAGAGCGAAATTTCACTATTTCTTTTTCCAGTACGTTTATTTTGTGTGATAGTTTATTTTATATATATA